TTCGGCGAGTCGCATGAAGGGTGCGCTGCATCCTGGTAAGGGTGTTCGGCATCTTGTGCTTATTTCCTTGCGTACGGATGACAGCTGCGTGACTTAATTTATTTTCTGGTGCTTTCACTTCCAGAGACAGTTGTTAGCACTGTGTAACTGCCTCGAGGGTGCTTGACCACTTTAACACAACGTGGTGCGATCATCCCCCTTACGCGGAGTGAGGGTTCTCGACCCCGCACAACATGATCTACTCGACCACCATGATGGTTACCGCCCAAAAAAAACAGAGGTAAAAAAGAAAAACGGTAACCTGGTTGCCGAGTTCACGGAGTGAATTAGCTTGTTTTACAACGTCGTTGCCAAGCGACGAAAACCCAATCCCGATGGCAAACACCGAGGGGGGGGCTTGTTTTACAACGTCGTTGCCAAGCGACGAAAACTCAACCCCGATGGCAAACACCGGGGGGGGGCATCATCAAGTAGGGGGGGGGCTGTTTGGGGTACTTGGATACGATATCCGATCTTAAAAAACGAAATTGCGTAGGGGGTATGCTGTTGCGGGTCCAAGCGCGGGGCCCGTCGAGAGAGAGGACACACATGTGTTCAGTCTGTGTTGTTTTTGTTGTCTTGCTTGCTTGTCCTTTGTGTTCGTGTGTGCTGGAAGGAACACGGTGTGTTCATCAAGGGGTTCGTATCATCATCGTCCGTCCTGGGTCAACATAGTGCCCGTACTTGACCCCAAACTCGGTGCCATATTCCTCCCTGCGGTTGACCTCCAACACTACTATCCGATGATGCGCGCCCCTGCTCCCGGTTTCACTCGTCTTGAGCAGCCCGCCGCCACCGCCGCCGCCGCTATTCCAGCAATCGGCGGTTCGAGGTGCCGCGGGACCAGCAGTGGTGCACGAAATAGGGCGGCCAATTCAGGAGGAACAGCGGTAGAGTTCTTTGTCTTTCGAGGCAACCTCGGTTGGGTATGACGGGCAGCGCCTGGCGGGCCTTCACCCGACGTTGTTGAAACCTCATCCGACACTGCTGCCGACCTTCCGGTGCTCGGGCCTCTGGAGATTTCTCGGCCAGCTTGTTCTGGCGGTTTCTCGCCGCTGGTTCCTGCTCCCCCTTTACCTTCGTCGTGCTTTGCCTCCGCATGGGGAAAACCCTGGCTGCCGCTCAAGGGTAACATCAATCGCGGCCTACCCGTAGCGGCGGCGGCAAGCGGTGGCTCGATCTCTGCCGGCCCGTCCTTGAGCGAGAAGAAATCGTCCAGGCTGGTGCCGTGCGGAAAGCGATCGGGGTCGATCGCATCGCTCCCGTGCAGCGGTGGCGGCGGGTCGGTGGCGCTTCGAGAAGCACCAGTAACAGCCGATTCTTGGCGAACGGTGGCGAGGAGCTCTTCGATCCTCTCTCGGCTCGCTAGATCCTTCCCGCGGAGCTCTTCCTTGCCCTGCCTCAGGGCGTGCTTCACCTCCCATTCTCCGACCTGCTTGGGTGGAAGGACAAGAACTCAAACTATAGTTGTTTCGCCCTCGGGCCTCTTAACCTTGGGCTTGTCTCCTCCTTCGGTGCACACGTGCTACAGTAGTGTCTGGGCTAACGTGGCATATTTGATTAATGCCTAAGACGATGAGAACATGATGTTTTGTTGTTTGTGCAACCTCTGCAGAAATAAAACGTAGATAGGAAGCAAAAGTGGCACATATTTCCAACAAGGCTGATGCAAAGAGAGAACATACAAATCGTACTTGATCGTTTATTGGCACGAAACCGGCTGAGCAAGACGCTGGCGTTGCGTATCAAGGTCGACTTGAGACGACATGAAGCACCCAGACAAGCTGAATGCCCTCGTACCCCCCGCCGTTAGCCACGCCCCGTACTCACCGGTTGCAGACCCTCTCCCCCGAGCAGCGAGTCGATACGCCCCGCGCCCCGTCTCACCCTCCCCTGCACGTCGAGCGGTGCCGATCGGGCTAGTTCCAGGGCCGTGTCGACGGCCTTTTCTCTCAAACTCCGACCACCGGCTACCGACTCCTTGAACAGGGAATCTCGTAACTGCAATCCTCCGCGTAGGAGGAAGACGAGGGAAGGGTTGGTTTCGGTGGTCGACGGTTTGTTTGAACACAGAATGGTCAGGTGGGATGTTAGGAGTAGTCTAGTACCTTATGAAGTTTGAAGTTTGGAAGCCGCTGTTGGTGCGTAGTGCACGCGGACCTACTATGGGCACTTGTTGGAAATGAGCTGGATCGGTACTTTTTCCAGTGTTGCCGGTAGAAGAGGAGGGAGGTATCTGCGTTGCCCGCGTTTGAGGCATCGCTCGCCGTGACTCAACCAGACGATTAGGTTCTATCCCGCATCTGTCGACCTTGCTCACCACCGACCTCGCTGCGCGCGGAAGCAAGACAAGCGATCTCTTGTGACCAAAACAAAAGAACGTGCGATAGGACTCTCAGGGGTTTCCACGGCGACGGAGGCATCGCTGCTCAATGACACGAGCCATTCCGAATAGTCGCTCCCCAAAGTCACATGCCAAGTCTATCAAACGGACGGCAGTTGACATCAGTTCGCGCCATCATTCGCCCGTGAATCAAACTGTACCTGTTCCAACGCCGTGTCGATGGCCCTCTCCCTGCACCGAGCCTCCCGTTTCGCCCGCTGCTCTCGCAAGGCTGCGTCTCCTGGGGTAGTGGCATACCCTGGCACCGCCGCCGCCGCCGCCGCCGCCGCCCCTTTTGTTCCGCTTGACCTCGAGTGCGCCGGCGGCGCGTCCCTTCCGCAGTCATTCTGCACGCGCACGGGTTCGCTGTCCGTCACTCTCTTCGGGGACCGCTGTTGTTGCCCACTCGCTTTTTGATCAAGGTTATTCAGGGACAAGGAGGTTGTTGGAGATTAATGTTAGATCGCACAAAATGTTGGGTTAGGTTTAAGTTTTGCTTCATTGCTATCGTCGAGTCATCAGCGACGACGGGAGCAGAGGTAGGACCGGGGCGCTTGAGACACCTCCAAAATTCGTAGACGGTCGCCTTTGGCGACAATTGATTTTTTGAAGCGTGGGATTGTTGTTGGGCTGCCGAAAAGTCTATTTTCGGGATTTGAGTAGGGAATGGAAGTGCTGGTTCTTCGCCAAAAATGGGGAAATTGGCGTTCGCGTACCGCAAACCTACGTAATCAGGAATGCTTTTGTCAAGGCATTGTGACGGACGTCTGCCTTATGAGATTTTCAATCAAAATGAGACAGGCATGTTTGCCGTTGAACAAACGTAATGATGCCGTGCAGCGTATGATCTGTCTTGATCCGCGTGCAGATATCTGTTCGCGTGCTCTTGCAAAGAACTACGTAAACTGTTCGTGTTCTGTCTCTCGAGTTGAATGCACTCGAAAGGTCCACTCACCGTCGATGGGCGCGCCTTTTTCTTCTTGGGTGTCGTCGTTGCGGTCGAGCGTTTCGGCTCCGCGCATCGCCAAAATCTTGGCGTTGATTTCGGCAAGCCTGCGGCACGCCGTCGTCAGCGTTCGTAAGGGTAGTCAGCCACGGATTTCAATGGCGAGAAGGCAGTGTCTGTAAGCCATACAACATGCAACGAGGGACGCGGCTGCCATAAAATGGTGGTTAACTTCCAGGGATTGTTTCCGGGCGAGACTCGAGATGCGTGGAAATCGCTTGACAAGAAAAGACGAGACCCTCCAGCAGTGCGACGAGGGTAAACGTTTCGGTCCACGTGCGCCATAGGGGCTTAAGCCACCATCCAATTGTGATCCTCTTCTCGGCCGCTTCCCAGTCCCTAACCGTTTGTAACCTAGGCGCACCAACGACTTTCGCACCCTGTAGGCGCGCACCAAGGTAGGGGTTGTGTTCCCTCCCTTTTTTTCCGTTTACCTGGCGTTGTCTTCGCTCGCCCCGATCCCACCGTACGGCGTAATTTCAGCCCACACCCCTGATGGCTCCTCACTAGTCGGCTCGCCATCATCATTGAAACCGTCAGCGTCTTCCACAAATCGGGAGACTAGAGTTTCCTACGAGGGAGGAGGGTGGAGAAACGACAAACAGCAAGTAGATAAAAGGAAAAGGGAAAGGAGCCACTGCTGTGTGTATCAAATCACTTCTTCGTTGCAATGTCAATGATATGCACACGCATAGCCGTCAGTCGAAAATGCGATAATATACGAAGTACGTGAGGAAGCAGCCATGGCGTTAGTTCCAAGCTGTCAGGAACGCTACGCACCGGCATCGGCACATGAAAGGTAAAACCAGCATCAACGAGTATGCATGGGCACCTGCTCGTCCGTGAGTCGCCCTCGGCTTGCCCTAGCAGCGTATCGCTTATTCCTCAGCACAAACGAAACGCCGCTGCTCCCGCCGCTCCCGCCGGCGCCGCCGCCGTCGCTGCCGCTCGAGCCCCGCCCCCCGTTCCGACTACCGCTGTCGCCTCCGTGACTGCCAACGCCGTTTTTCCCTCTACTGAAACCCCGGCCCCTCGAGCTGCAAGTGTGTTTGTCGTCACTGACTTTCACGGAGATGGCTGTAGACCCAGCGTTAGAAGAAGAAGCCTCTGTTCGTGCGGTCCCTCGGAAGCTGTGGTCGTCGTGGTCGGGAGAGTGAATGGGAAGGAACAGTTTTTTTTTGCAAGCTTATCGGTGATCGTGGGTAGGTGGAGGCTTTGGTTCAGGAACCAGCACTGCAAAGGATCGCTGTGTACGTGTAACGTTACATTCTCTCGGCACAGATTGACGACACGTTGATGCCTCCCCCTCCGGCAAGAACACACGACAGACTTTCCGCTCACTTTTGAGTAACGAAGGCCCTTCCCCGCCTCGCTTGTCTGTCCCGACTGTTGCTGGCTCCGCCGTCGCCGTCGTGCTGGCTCCCGCTAGCCACGCTCGTTCCTGATCGCTCCGTGCCTAGTGCTGTGGCCTCTGATTTTCTGGCGCTGCCAATGCTCACTCGGGAACTGACAGGACCAAACGGTGCCGACTCCGAAGACAACGGCAACGGTAACCGTAAGGGGGGATGGTTGGTGGGGACATCCTCCACAGCCACCGGACCCCGGCCTTTGAGACATGGTGGCTGCTGGTCGACGAAACACATCGGTGACGAAGGGAAAGGGAATATTTGGAGAGGGGGGCGATGGTTAACGGTGAAATGACGAGACAGAGAGTATGATGTACCTCCCCCGCCCCTCTCCCCACTCTCCTAGCATGTACCAGGTGTCCAACCCATCGCACTTCTATCTGGGTTTACCTCGCCCTTCGAGGTGGCTATCCCCACGGCCGCCGCTCGTTCTGCCTGCTCTGCAGCTTCTCGCGCCATGAGCTTCAGCTCCCGCGCCCTAGCGGTGACTCTTGCTAATCGAACGTCGAGCTCTCTCATCTTGGCCAGCCCTCGCATGAGGCGGTCTTCTCCCGTCTGTTCCTCTAGGCAAATACACATGAAGAGCGGAGGCAGAAGTCGAGCGCGGGTGTCGACGGAGGAAAACACCAAAAAAACAACCGCAAAGGCAGTTGTGCTTTCTTGTTGGCGATACGGGCGATGGCTCGCTTGATGAAAAGACTCAAACAACCACCCTGCTAGCACAATCGTAAGTTAGCGTTGCCGCGACGCCCGTTGACCCGCAGTCCGAAACGTCTCCTATTCAAGCTTGCGTCCCACGCACACGCATGGTTCGAGACATCTCACCTGCAAACATGCCTCTGTATCTTGAGAACTCCTTTGTGCGATCGAGCCCTTCCTCCAAGAGGTACTTCGTCCACGGGGGCGCGCGGTCCCCTGTTTCCCTCCCGCTTGTCTTGCCACCCCCACCTTTCCTGTTGTTGCCTCCCGCCCCTTTCCCGGCATAGCCGCTTCTGCTTGAAACTGCCGATGTCTGTTCCGGGGATCGATCCTCTAGATCACTCCGACCCATGAGCCCAACAATTTCGTCGAAGTTTCTAGGAAAAGTAACCTTCGGTGTTCCATCCTCCCTCGTTCTGGACCAATCACATCAAGCAGGTGGGTTGCCAATTCAGTAGCTTAGGGCCTAGCAGCAGATTTACGCACGTGGCTAGCTACAGTTGCCACGAGTACAGGTCGTGAGAGAGGGTGTTTGAATTAGCGGTGATTCTCGCTCTTTCATCAAGAAGCTATAAATGAAGTCTCATGCGTTTCGTTCAAGATGGGTAGTGCATTCACCCTTTGGGTACCAATAACACCCTGGCACACAGCACTCTATTCTCCAGAAAACATCGTTTTGAAACATTCAGACCGTCCCACGGGCGAACTACACTATCCGTGTCTACACATAATCGCTCCCTGTAAGGTGCAATACGGTAGCTGCACTAAAGGGCTTATGTTGCACGACGGCCACGTAAACTTTTTGCACGTAGCTTCTCCGACCACCAGGAACATGAAAACGCCAAGTGCTCGCAAAACGGGGTATCAACCCACCTTGTCCTAACTCCTTCCATGTACTGCTGCAGGTTTTTCCGGACATTGTTGTACACGTCGTCACCTTCGCTCAATGTCGACCGAAAGTATTTTCTATCAACCCCTGGAGATGATGGTCTCTGCCCGGTTACGACGGGAACACCAGTTGCTTGCGGCCCATTATACCTTTCCTGGCGACTACCCTTCTCTGCTTCCACCTGAATCTCCCTGTTTTCCTTCTGATGGAGGTTTTGGGACGTCGATACTGTCCTTGCATCCATGCTGATATCATCTTCCTCGACGGGCCAAAGGCGTCTATTGCTGCCCGTTGCATGTGCTGCCGGAGAATCATGTCTCTGCTCGGTCTTTTCGTCGCCATCGTTTGACGGATCTTCTTGGCGTTCATCTGTTTTATGTTCGCGCATCTCCTCTTCCGTCGTATACGTGTCGTGTGCCAGTGGCGGTTCGTACGCGGGGGCAGTCGGGAATGGTGTGTCCTGGTGACTGCCGCCGCCAAGCTCGCTAGCGGCCACGGCCGCAGCTGCTGCCGATGCACGACGGCCGCCGCTGTGTTGTTGTGCTATCGACGAAAGGTGGATGGCGCCGGGCGATCGTTCAGGTCTTCTTGCCTTTCGTGTTGAAGGCTGGAGAAGTGGTGATGATGTTCCTCTGTCTGTGAGCCGACAATAGCCCAGCGAGCCTTGTCGCAGAGGGCTTGGCGTCGACGAGCGACCTTCGTCTGCTGCCATGGCCTCCGCTTCTCCGAAGGCATCTTCGCGGGCGGCGCTCGCGTTTGGTGCTATGGGTCTCGCCGGTGTCGATCGATGTGACTGAGTGGGGTAGATTTCATTGACGGCAGCATCACAAATAGCGACTCGTGCTCTTGTTGGGTCCGCCATATAATCTGTTGGAAAAGAGGCAGACGCTCGCCCTAGTCCCACGTGTCTACGCGGATGAACGAGTCCCTCTGGCTTAGTCTGTGCGAGGGGCGACGGCGTTGGCTCTGCTGTCATGGGGGGGGGGAACAGCATGTCTTTGGCGGCTGCTGAAAAAATGGAAGAGGTCGTCCTCGGCCTTTTCCCTACCCGTGGAGAGGTTGGCTGCACGCAGCACGAAGCCGCGTTGGCGAAGGCGTCCGCGATATCGTCTGCTCTACCGAGGAGGGCCATGCTGCAGGGACGGTTGGCACGACCTTGGGCGTAAGGTGCTCCGTGTCGCACGGGAAGATATGTTGCTGGATATACATCGAAAGCAGCAGCACAGTCATAGGAAAGATAACGTTGTAAGCAGCATATCTGTGGTCTAGACTACATCTCCTGCTCACTGCTGTGGTATACAGCAGTGCAGCAGTAGTCACCAGACTGAAGGTGGCGCCCAAGTTCTCATCTTAATCACCCGACGACTCGTGCAATTTACGAGCCAGTACGTTCTACTTAAGGCAGTATGCCGCCCGCCACAACATCCTCGGGGACCAAGAAGTTGGGACGAGCGTGGGCGCATCATGCACCAGAGAAACGAGAAACGACGTCTTTCTCGCGCTCTCTGCAGCATATGCCGCATCCAGATCGCAGATTCCTCACATTTCTCACGTCGGCGATCCTATGCGAGGGCGAGCGAGACAGAGTGCCCGCTTTCTCGTGGACGTCCCAAACTTCTCCAACGGATACCCCACAATGTAGGTGTCACGAGGAGAAGCTGGTACGTGTGTTCTTCGAGCGAGAGAGGCGGGAGATCTGTGAGGGAGAAGGCCGGACGGCGGGGAGAAACGCTTTTTTTTTGCGAACCGTATTCTGAACCTGGTTGGTTCGGTCCGTTAGACGCCGCCGGCAATCAATCCTACCCAGTCATCACTACTTGTCATCCACCCGTGATGTAGAACATAGACTCCGTCACATCACGTCACGTAGCAGGGTGTGAGCACGATCGAGGCGAACAGGAGGGATCTTTTGCGTTGCAACCACGACACATTGGCTCGGCAGGGCTCTTCATTTCGCGTTCCCACCCGTCGTGCATCCGGGTAGAGCGGGTCGGCCACACGGCGGAAAGCTGCTGCTTTTGCAGAACCTTCTTCACCCCTTCGAGTCCAGTCGGTCATCTCCGGCTGTGTGCGATGCGAAGAGCGGCAACATGGGCGATCGTCGCTTGGGTGGTGCCGGATCTAGGGACAAGTTGGTTGGTGGTTAATTCGACTCCAGGGACCGAGGTACGGACAGCAGCAGAGCAGTCGTACATAGTTTTGAATCATACCTGCGTACGTACGTGTTTCTAGCAAAGGTCCGTAACTGCCGCTTGTGTGCACTGCTGTGTAGTAGTTTATACTCCGTTAGCGGAAACGACACGCCTATTTTGCTGCCCCGGAGCATCCGAATGGTGTTATCTACCCCCCGTTGAGACCCGGTGCTTTGCCTCCGATGGAATGCAGCGGTTCCTGCCGAAATGCCAACTGTTGCAGTTCGTGCGGGAGGGATCTACATGATATTGCTGGTACCCCACAGGTGTTCCAGAAGCAAAGTACCCTCCCTGATACACCCCCCCCCNCCCCCCCCCCCCCGATGGGTTCGGGTAAAATACATAATACAGTGAACCAACACCCCCGTATTTTTTCAAATTCAGCCATGTGCAACAACGATGTGCGGCCACCGTACTGCTGTCATAGATCGCTGTTCGTGCTGACATTCTTCGACGTACGTGCGACTCCGAGGTTGATCTTTCGAGTCTCCCTTCGTCTATTTGTTTTCAGTCGCCCCATCTTTGAAAAGTTGCCCCCAATTTCCATCTGCTGCTGTAAGTCCGTTGTTGTTGCCTCTCTAGCCGAACTGATTGGGTCAGCGCAGAACTCCTCTCGGATGCATGCCATCAGTATATCCGCGAGCAGGGCTAAGCAGTTCCTTCCCTCAGGGAAGACTGTGTTGTACACGGAGAGAGAGAGAGAGAGAGAGAGAGAGAGAGAGAGAGAGAGAGAGANGAGAGAGAGAGAGAGAGAGAGAGAGAGAGAGAGAGAGAGCACTCAAAAGGAGGGAACATACTTGTTGAAGTTCTGTTGCTGTTGATTCTCTTAGTGCCCGCCGGAGACGATTTTCTGCAAATCCTCATGCTGGAGACATTGATGCCGTCCAGAACTAAAGAAACACATACTTTGGGGTAACGGCTACGGTTTTGGATTCACGACGGCTTGAGTAGCGAATTCAAATCGCCACAAGTCAACCACCAACACAAAACGATGCCAAGTATGTAAAACCCTCATACATGGGGTCCAATCGAGATGTAGTTATATGTTGACTACTTGCTCGAAACAATATTGAAGTACCGACTAGGCCTCCTCACAGCAGTACTAGGTTGCGAAATGCCGAGCCACAGCCCCAATTAACCGGCGTTCAAACTTCCGTCGCTATATTCGCTAGATCCGCTCAAGGTTACCAACTGGCGACCAAACGTATTGGGCTCTTGGCACCGCTAGCACTGGTTCCACGGCTGCTGTCGTTATGTGTGACTTGCCTTTTGTGCCCTGTGCTGCTTCACTGTTGGCGGTAATTACGAACACAACAGACCTATTGTGTTGACGCAACTAGCAAGGACGGCAAGTTTGGCTCGCTGCATAGGGTGGGACCTGAAGCCCCCCCCCCCCCCCCCCCCCCCCCCCCCCATGCGTTTCATTGCACTCCAGGCCGCCATTGGGTGCCGCCGGCAACGGCTCCAACATCAACTACGCCATCGGGCGGCGGCAGCACCAACGCAGCGGCGTCGAACCCGTCGTCGGCTGCCACATGCCCCGTGGGCAGCGTCAGCGTTCACACCTTTCACGGCCTGCAGCAGCCACAGCGGCAACAGCAAGCGAACGCCGTCGTCGTACTCGCCGATGCACGCCACGGCGAGCCCTCTGCCGTCACCCTCAGCAGCGGCGGGACCAGACAAAGTTAACGTTGAGGTGGCAGCGGCTACGCTGCTCAACTCGTCTTCCAGGAGGAAGCGCAACGGCACCGCCAGAACAACCCTGAAACGCGTAGAAGAGATGAAAGGTGTTGCGAAAGGGTCTTGTTCTGCCGCTTCGATCATCGCTCCCTCTGCGTCCTCCACGGATTCGGTGAACGGGTGAGGACTAAGAGATGCTGGCAGCGTTCAACGCCTGCGCACGTTGTTTGACGACGGCAGGTGTCGTTTCGCCCTCTGCCAGCTTGAAGCGAAGAGCAACACGCACTGCCATGCAACCCCCCCCCCCCCCACCACCCCCCCAGGTTTATCGCTGAACACACCGCTTCCTGCCCTGCTTCCTGCACATGCATACCTCATTTTTCAGGGCGAAACCAAGCGAGCCTTGGCGCGCTCGTCTCACTTTGGCATTGGTTGCCTGCCTGTACGGCACGAACTACACCGCCATCAAGTTCATGGGAGATTTCATGGATACGTCGAGTCTGCTGACGCTTCGATTTGGTCTTGCATCACTGGCGCTGCTGCCGACGTTGCAAGGAGTCGGAATGGATGTTTTGCTAGCTGGGGCGGAGGTGGGGATCTACGCGACGCTGGGATACATGGCTCAGGCCTACGCTATGACGGTGAGAGAAGGGGAGGTCTTACGTACGGGTCGAGGAGGGCCGGATAGATCAAGAAATATGGATATGCACGGAGGGTTTTCACGCGACGCGAACCGTGCTGTTATGTCGCAACTTCTTCTTTTTTCCTCACGATCAATTGTTCTTGTACTCCCGTAACATTCGCGTTTCTTCTGCCCGCCCGCCAAGCACTAACAAGATTTCACGATTCCCACGGCCATCACCACCGGTGTCAACGCCAACAACATCATGTTACGGCGGCGGCGGCGGCGATAACGACGACGACGACGAAAACAGTCATTGCCCGCCTCTCAGCTGGCGTTGGTGGGTTGCCTGGCGGTGCTGGTGGTGCCCTTTCTCGACCAGATTTCGGGAAAGAGAAAGGCGGGAGGTGCGACTGTCAGCGCCGCCGTTCTTGCCTGTGGTGGCGCAGCTCTGCTGCAGTCGGGAGGTGGGTTTTTCGGGGGGCGCGGGGGACAGGATTTGTTGAGTTTTAGAGAGGGGGGGCGGGGGTGCTCAGCGGTGTTGTGCCGTTGTGGTCGGGGAAAAGTCCATGATTCTGGCATGCGAAACAATACACAACATTTTGGTCGTGACATCAGGGTTTCGTCCAGCGCAAAGCGCGCTGCAAAAGAAGAGGAGTCCTGCTGCATGTTGTGTGTCGCACGACATCCAACACCTGGCAGCAATGGTCACGCCTGCAATGGTGCGGGTTTGTCCACGTTTTGCATCACCCCACTAACGCTCCGTTGTCAGAGAAACAGTCCAGGAGGATAGAGGGAAGGGGAGCAGAGAGAGACAGACAGAGAGACACCGAGAGGCCGCAACAATGTTCCTCTTTGACAAACATGGGCAAAACCCGGTCAACTGAATTTTCGTCGAAAGGATTTGTTTTCATGTTGCAAATATCCAACCGAAACACTTCAACTTGTATTTTCGAAGGGGCCCAGCCTGACGCGGTGGACGGAGCGGCAGACCTCTTGCCGCGCGTGCTGTCGCTCTTGCAGCCTTTCTTTTTCGGGTTTTCAACCTGGAGAATGGAGGCGGTGGTGCAGCGACACCCCGGCCAGGCGCTTCCTCTCACCGCAAGTCAGGTGGCGGTGGTGGCCATTACCTCGGCGCTGTGGAGCATTGGTCAAGGTGGTGAGCGGAGCCAAGCGAAGGGGAGCGGAGTGTCATGTACCCACTCTTTAGTTTTTCACCCTATAGAAATCAACACGATCTTCCTTGAACCATCAGGACTAGCAGATTAGAGCGCCCCAAGGAAGAGAGTGTAGAGCAGTAGCAGTCTCGGGGAAACAACGCAGTGGCGGGAGTCAGAGTCTTGCCCCAGTCTTCAAAAGAAGAAACCCAGAAGGGTTGACGAAATGCAGGGACTTGGGGCCTGTGGCCGGGTGCGAAGATGGTTTGCTTTCAGTTGCGTGAGGTTTTTCTCATAACAATGCTTCCTCGTCGCTCTCTTTACCTTGTTATCCCACAAGGATTTCCCGCGGGTCTACTGGAGGCGCTGATGAACCCAGGGACGGATCCGTGGGCGCTTGCGGTGATGCTGTGGCTAGGGCTCGTCAACACGGCCCTCGTGCTCTTTTTGGAGACAGACGCGCTCGAAAGCGTGTCGGCATCTGGTAAGCACACGGGTCGGCGCCGCAATTTGAGGAACACCTGGTCAATCAAACTACCCCGCATTCGATGAAGCTCTCTTTCATTGAATACTGCCACGTTGCTCGTTGCTCCCCAGGGTGTCCCCCGAATCTGAAGCAGACCCCCCCGTTTCAAGTGACCCCCCCCCCAGACCCTGCCCCAAATCGTCTGTGTTCGCTCAGACCGGGGTCACGACTGATGCAGTGATCGTAGCAGTTGATGTCTTTTCAGATACATTCGATGGGTTGGATCGTGGACGTCCTGTCGCGGCTCCATGTTTCCATTTGAACGCGTAGAGTCCGATGTTGCCACCGAGGGCCAGATTCAAACCTTGAGCAGGGCATCCGGAGTGGACCTGTTTTGTATTACCTTGTCATCCCGTCAACAGCTACTTGTGAAGCTGTAGGTTATCAGACACATACGCATACTTCCGTGTCTTCCCGGTACACCATCCGTGTGAACTGAGAGTACCTAGTCACGACAAACATTAAGGCCAGCGGGGAATGTTGTGCGCTCTCGCTCCTTCCCGCGTGTGCCTTCCTTTCTCTCGCCGGCAAGCGCACGAAACGCTGCCGGAGCGAGTTGCTTGTCCAAGCGTAGTCGTGCTTTTCTTGTGTGTCAGTCGAGCCCGTCTGAACCCCCCCTCTCGCACACACATTACTGAACTTCCCTCTCTTTTGGCGGAGCCCATTCCCCCCCCCCCCCCCCCCCCCCCCCCCCCCCCCCCCCCCCCCCCCCCNCGGCTACCCCCCCCCTCCTCCATTCCCGTCGAGTCACCCTCTCATCGTTGCGCCCATGCTCTGTTCATTCACTCCCAGAGGCGACGGTGATCTACTCGTTAGAGCCTTTGGTAGGGGCCGGCCTGGCGTCTTCTGCCTTAGGGGAACCGTTCCCCAGCCCGTTGGGCGCCTCGTTCGTGCTAGGGGGGTGCTTGTGCAGCTCGCTGCCCGACAGCAGTGGCGGCGAAGACAACGACGAGAGTCTGTAGAAAAACGATGACATTGGTACTGCATGAAACGACTGGGCGAGAGCTGTCTGACTGAACTACTCGCCGCGTTTCTTGTTTTTTTGGCTGCTTGGCGACGCGCGATCAATTGTACAGCGGGAAGCTCGGCTCGTCAGCAAAGAGTAAATTAGAGTAAATATTGCAGCAGACACATGCCCTCGATCGTGCACAACTGCTCGAGTGGTTGGAGGGTGTTTGTTTCCCCGTTTGTTACTCCTACAAGCGTTTGCACAAGAGTTTTTATACCTATATCTTGTCTTGTAGGTATGGCGGCCATGAGGTTTTGGCGTCTTGGTCGTTGACCGAGTTTTGCTGTGATAGATTCGTGCGATCCAATAGTCTAGCAGTTGAACGCTAGTGTATACAGTAGATCAAGGTGAGCGAGGAGTGTATGGTATGCCTTGGTGTTTTCGGGACGAGAGCGCGGATTGTCGCGTGGTGCGTGCGCCCCGGGCTCAATAAAAGTGAGGGGCGGTTCCAGCGGACAGTCGGAGTGACGTGATGTGAAAAGGTTGTGCCCGCAGCAGCGAGGATTGGTGGTATGTGGTGCGTGCGCCCAGAGAAAAAAGAGAGGAATGCTTCCAGCGGACAGTGGCGCTGGCGTGAGGTGAAGGAAAAGTGATGCTGATAGCAGCAAAAGTTCGATCTTGTTGAAGGTCCTTGTTGTGGAGGAACACATTTTGTTATGCCTTATTTTTCTGTTCTGCGATCACAATTGTGGGTCCGGTGGTTGCTGCGCTTGAGGCCGCGTCAAATCACGCAGTCTTGGTCTCGTTTGAATTATCGGATGACAAAAGTGCGGTTGATGTTGATGGCACAAGAGGTAAAATGACGGCGGGAGGGGCTTGTAAAACGTTGGCCGTTGTTGGGACTTGTTTCTTTTGTGTGCTGTATTCTGCATCCCATTTCCAAACAGCAGGTGCTCCGAAGAACATACTTCGAAGTAGTACTTTTCCTCATGCTTCAATTTTCTGTTACCCCCCAAATTTCAGGTTGGGACTTCTGAAGCCTAACCTCAAGACGAACCTCAGACCTTCAGGGAAGAAACCTGTCCGCGTGAGAGTAGACGATGCGGAGGAGCCAACAAGTGGCCAACCTCACGCGTCTCAATTAGCACGTCGGCAGCGGCGGCTTCAACCAACAACCCAACACCCGCCACAAGATGCAGATATATCCGATCGTTACAGATGTACTGAACCCCTCCACACAACTAGAGTTTTGAGGGAGGCAGCGCACCCGTCCCAGCGCATTTCACGATTTGCACATATGATCCCCAACCGCCCCCGTCCCCTCGGTGACGCCTAATACCTGGACAACGACCCCCTTGCTGGTGTTGCAAAATACGCACATGTCGATGCACTGACCCGTTTTCACCTCGATCGGCTTCTCAAGCAGGACAGCAGCCTGCCTGAAGTGAGACGACGCAGAGATGCATTCTGAGTGACCGCGCGGCTGTGTGTCGAGCACAACCGTCGCGCCGAGGGTTTGCCGGTACCAGTACGCGATCGCGTGCAGAGTCCCGGAGCGCTGCGCAACCAGGCTGGCCGATCGTTTGTCGAGACAGCCATCAGGTCCTGCCTGCACGTTGGCAAGGTCCAGCTCGTAGCACACGGCTGACGGTGTCAAAAACATCTCTTGCTCTTCCTCGTGACCCTTGCCCTTCTCGCCATCAGTTGGGACGCAGCGAGTGCTCCTCTCGGCGTCCACACCACCCCCAGTCGTCCTTTCGTTCCTTGCTGTTGGTGTGGAGCCCTCGCTGTGGCCGCATGGAGCGGTAGCAGAAAGGTCGAGCTCTCTGAAAGTCGCCACGCTGAACGCGTTCACGGGGTCGACGATCACACCGCAGCAGTTGTCCGATTGAACCCTATTCTCGGACAAAAGGGACGCCCGTTGGAGGCCTTGGCACACCACTTCCAGACGTCCCGGCACGAAGGCTGTTGGTGCGGTACTTCTGTCATCACGCCCTCCGCTGCTCCCGTTGTTGCCGCCGGACACAAAATGTCGACACAATTCCAGGCCCCCAAGTCCCCCCTGCTTCAACAGCCCCGACGCTTCCACCACCGACGACGTCATCACCACAGCCCAGCCCAAGTCGCTCCCGCGGCCAGGCCAGCCGATGTCCCATTGCTCACGGGTAGCCATTGAGCTGGCCCGTTCGTTCGCGCCTTTAGCCGTCGGCGTTTCAAAAACCCCACCACGTGACGCGAGATCGACGAGCCCGTCCGCCGTAGCCACGTACCGGTCTGGTCCGAGGCCGTTCTCTCTCGCGATCGTGTTCAGAATCGCGGCAGACTCTTCGCTTTCAGCGACAGCAAGAACCCTTGTCGCAGGTGTTCCGTCAGCACTCCGCTCCATGTTGGCCACGAGCAACCCAGCCACACCCCACGCACCGCACAGGTCGAGGACGAAGGCCGGCGGCGGCGAGTGATGCGCCGGCGTCTGCGACGAGGATGCAACTGAGCTCGACCTTGGACCCTGTCGCGCGGCGGCAGGCATGCTGATTTCCATGCCTTGGGCCACTAGAGCTTCCGCCACAGCTTTTGCTTGCGAGGAGTGGAAGGGCCCGTCATTAAGCCTGGCCATATCCATCTCCCCCAGATAAACTGGCCCATTGCTGTTGTAGGCAGTCCTAAGGTTCCCTTCGCCCACAGTTCTGTCGCCGATGCCGCGGTCGATAACTTCGCTTGGCGGCTCGGCAGCGACGACGGAATGGTGGAAGAGTCCTCCCTGCCCGTTAACGGTGAAGCAAAGTCTGTCGACCCTTGAGGAAGCTCCCAAACTTGCTTCGCTTCCTTCTGTCAAGTTCGCCCCGTGCGCAAAGTAGATCCCGGCGTCCTACGGAAAGCGTCGGGACGAAATTTTCGCAACACGCAATTGCAACCCGTGCGGTTGACGAAAACAGACAAATAAAAACGAGGTACATACGGGCAAAGATTAGCCTACGGGGCACGCAGTTCACATTGCACGGATCATCATAAGCTAGGACATGTTGGCACTTCGCCCGCAGACGGCATGGTGTCCTGCTCAACAAAAGAGCTTTCTGCTTACCCAGCCGGACGCGTCACCGGGGGCGCTTCGTCCCGGCCTGGTGCTGACGACGTCGCGCTCCCCTCGCTCCTTATCCAGCCAAAGGTCGAACCAAACGGCGACCGCGTCTGCACGACCCGAACACTTCACCGCGAGGTTTGCGATCGCCGAGGGAGGAGGCATTCCGAGTGCCGCCGGAACGCCCTGCGGCGAGCACGTTGCTGCGCGCGCCAGAAGGTCTGCACCATCCTTCAAGAAATCGACCTCGAGCACCGGCTGCGGAGAGGTCAGGAGCCGATGTTCCAGACGCCCAAGGTCCTACAATTGCCCGCGATCAGTAGGGCGGTTCATCACGACGGTTTCGGGCCGGGGTTTGCTCTCGTCGTGAAACGATTCGAAAGGCACGCGACGAACAAGGCGTACAGCGCGACTCGTCGGAAGAAGGTGCACACGATCGACATGCGTGGAACAAACAGGAGCATTTATGATGCGTGTATCCGCATCAACGTCAAGGCATGTAGGCTAAAGCACGCATGTTACTAGATTTCTTGGCAGCCTTGTATAGTGCGGGATTGTTCGCTTGCCTCGCAGGTGTACGGTTCTTCTATTGTTGGGCAGACCGATGCCGAAGACAGCCCTCCCGGATTGCCCGGAAGTAGTCTCGAACGCCTCCGGACGGCATCGGACTCGAGAACCGCCGCGTAGACACAAGCTCCCTGGAAATGCAGCAGGAAGAAGTTGTGAAGACCAGGTAATTTCTTTCACGCACCGGGCTGGTGCGGGGGGCTGACTTCAGCGGACAATCCTACATATCTTGCACTACTTCTGCAACGCAAGGTGCGGTTTCTCCGCATCGAGACTCGTGGCCCCCGTGGCTGACTAAACAAAAAATCTATCAGCCAAACTCAACCATGAACGAGCGTAGACGGACAGTGCCGCCCTGTCCGCATCCGTATTTCGTACCTCGGGGACAACCCGTCCCCCCCGCGCCACAAGTCCTCGCGCCCTCGCGTCGGTGAGAACGGGGATTATTTTTTCTCCCAAGAGGCCGGAATCAACCAGCTCGGTGACGATTACGTCCACTCCGCCTTCGGGTAGGTCCACGCCTAGCTGCAGGGCCCCTGACGATTTGTGGATCACCGTCACGCGGTCGGCAACCCCGTTCCTGCAACAACCACGGCAGAGTTGGCGCGGCCGAGAAAATATTTCGAAGCGGTGCGTAGCAACGCGCTGCCGTTAACAAGCGGGGCGACTCCTGTCGAAAGTCACGAGCTCCCTTGGGGTTTGTTTCCAGCTGGCGATCGAAATGCGTGACGTGGGCGAGGAAACATGCAATAGTGGGGCTGTTCTTGTCGTGCAAAGGGGCCGAGCAACGGCAATCAAGCCAACTGGGGGCTTCGGAACAAGCCCCACGCAACTCACCTCTCCAAGACTTCCCTCGCGACGTCGCACAAGACACTGTTCACCTCGCAGGCATACACGTGCGAAGCACCCGCCCTCGCCGCCAACACAGCCAAGATGCCAGTGCCCGTGCCGATATCCAGTACCGTTACGCCCGCCTGCGACCGCGAGTAATCACACAATAACGCCCACATAAATGGTAGGCAAACACAGACAGCTAACTCGGTAGAAGGAAGTTCGTCTCACATCTCCGCTACAAATCTGTTTCCCAAGGAAAACCTCTTGTCATCTCGGGAAAACGGCGACGCAAAATAGCTGCAAGCCGGGACCACGCTGCAACTGTACCGTGGAACGGATGGGGTCACAGATCTGGCAAATAATTACGCTACATTGGAGGTCTCTTGGCCCACCTGCGTATCGAGGCCTACCTGAAGACCTCTCACCTCCGGGTTTCGGCCAGCAGCAGCAGCAGCAGCAGCAGCAGCAGCATCATGTACTGCTCTCTGGATCGCCCTCGAGTAGGCCTCATTTCGGGCAGAATGGTTAAGCATGCGGAAGTGCCACCGGTCCACCGCCAAGCTCTTGACGTTCTCCAGGCTCTCCAAAGCCGGCCAATAGGCCGGGTCAAGAGCTAGTGCCTGAAGCGAGAGAGGAGGCACGAGGGCCCGCACTGCTGTGAGAGATGCATGAAATAGGGGGCTGTGACGATGTAATTCTTACAGGCGGGCTTCCAGTCGCTGGTTTGGTGCCATTGGAACAACAGCCATCACAAGAGCAACCGATACCTCTCGGCAGCGATCTCGATGGCACCACAGCGAAACACCTTCATTTCGAGGGAAGGGTTACGGCCCCATGTAGGTTTGGTGCGAAAAACGCGCCCTCGGCGTGCACCTACTGGGAATGGTAGGGCGGTAGATGGACCGGTCGCTTTGCGACACGAGCGCTCTTTCACCTTTTGGAAGCTCTCGATAGATGCGGCAACTGTTCCGAGCGAGTACTGCAGTGCACCGAGGTTCGTGAGAAGTCCTAGCGGACGCTCGAGCAGCGGAATGGCCTAAGCTTCAGTCCAGCAGCGAAGACGGTCGGTAGAAAGGGGACAAAAGAGCTTGAGGAAGGGCAAACGATGGAGAGATGTCTGCCCAAGACAGCTGCTGAGACGACTGCGACGGCCTTAATATGTACGTCCCCCAACCCCGTGTCCCCGACCCCACCGAACACGCCAGGCAGGCATGGTGAGATGCTTGCCGCGCACGGAGACACTGCTGTCGCCGTGTGTATTCCGTCCAAGGTCGGTAGGTTGTGTAGACATGACACCCTTGAGCTTCCTCAGACGTCCTAAGTTATCGAATGCAGAGCACTGGTACCTGAGAATAGAGCCAGAGAGCGCTGCTCGGTTGGCCAATTGTTGCAAGGTGCTCGCCGTACGCCTTGAGGGAGAAGGTGAGGTCACCCTCCAGCTCTTCGGCAAGTTGAGGAACACTCTGGAGCGCCTGCATGTGTGCGCAACCCCGCCAAGCAACGTTGATTGTCCAACGCCGGGAAAAATCATGATTAACTTGGAGTCTTTCGTTCACGTTGTGGTTTGTGCTCGTCACCATCTTACTTGAGAAAGATTGACGAATATACAGCAATCAAGTTTGAATTTTTGAATCAAGGGATCGGCTGAATACTCCCGTACTGCTGCTGTACATATGTAGCATAGTGCTGTTTGCAAGGCAGGCAGACCTGCATCAAAAGGGCAGTGGCTGCTCCGTGACGGCCGGACGCGGCGTGGTCTCTCGCCAACCGCACAGAAGTTAGAGTTTTTCTGGCATCTTCTGCTTCCATGGCTCGTGGCTATTGGTCCCTCTCGAAGACTTGCTAGGCAGTTGAGTGGGCAGGTTGCGAGAGAGCCACCAGCGGTGCGCCAGGGGGGCGACGTGGGTGGGGCAGGGTAGAGGAGTATCCAGAAACGGGTATACCCGCGGATAGACTATCATAATTTCAGGGTACACTTGGAAATCAAGACGACACCAATCTCCGACATGACAGCATCCGCCGTAGATCGCGGCGAAACCAATAAACCGCTGTCTGTGTCTTGTGTGTCCTGTGCCTCGGAGGCATGATGCACGAGGCAGGTCGTGCCCGGTTTTCTCCCTCTCTGTGCCTATCTCTCTCTCTATCTAGTCTATGCTTTTACTGATCTGTACCACACCAAAGTACTCGCGCGTCAAGCGAATCCGATCCTCTGTTGAGAAGGGTCGGTACCTATGGAGGCGGTGGCCATGAACGATGAACGAGCGAGCGTTGTTGGTTGTTTGGGTGTGGTTTCAATTACAATACAGTTGTGTNGAGCTTTGCAGCGCGTCGCTTCCAACGGAGACCAGGATTTCATTAGCGAGAAAAAACTCACTCTGTCGGGACTCGAACCCATGACCTGGCCCTTAAGCAGGCTACGAGGCTACCCACTAGACCACCGGGGCGACCGGTGTGCGTGTGGTACACGGTATGTGCGGCACACGGTTTTTTCTGCGGGTTTTATGCTAGAAGGTGGGCTGCGGGATTATATTACCATTTATTTCTGGGTACAAAATTGACCTCTTCCGGGTATACACCAGTAACCAATATCGATCACATCAGAGGATCCTAATTCCAGCGGAAGTTGTACCTGATGGAGGTTTCTTCAGGNCCTGCGGTTCCTGCCTGAGGTATTTTTATCGCGAGAAGGGTGCAGCAATCCCTTCCCTCGCGACTTACAAAGTCGATCAAGTTTACTAACAACGAGCTTTGCAGCGCGTCGCTTCCAACGGAGACCAGGATTTCATTAGCGAGAAAAAACTCACTCTGTCGGGACTCGAACCCATGACCTGGCCCTTAAGCAGGCTACGAGGCTACCCACTAGACCACCGGGGCGACCGGTGTGCGTGTGGTACACGGTATGTGCGGCACACGGTTTTTTCTGCGGGTTTTATGCTAGAAGGTGGGCTGCGGGATTATATTACCATTTATTTCTGGGTACAAAATTGACCTCTTCCGGGTATACACCAGTAACCAATATCGATCACATCAGAGGATCCTAATTCCAGCGGAAGTTGTACCTGATGGAGGTTTCTTCAGGAATGGGTACAATGGTTCTTCGGCCAATCAGCTGACAGCCTGGGGGTGCAAGCATGTTGATTTCTAACTATACCCTAAAGTGGTGATAATGTACCCGGGTATGTATACCCGTTTCTGGTTATTGGGCTTACTTTTGTAGGGGGCAGTCCCCCCCCCCCGCGCCCCTGCTGTTCACAGCAGTGAGTGCTGTACTGCTGTAGTACTGCCCCACATCGCGGACAACCATATGCTCTCGGCTGTTGTACGGGTTTGATGGCACTCTCCACCACCTCTCTTGAGGGCTTGATGTGGATTGTCCTCAGAGATCAAAAGACAGAAAAAAGGAAATACGAAGAACTTTTGTTGTAGTAGTCTATAGTAATAATAGAATCGGGAGGATGCGAGAGTCCAAAGGAAGAAGAAATGCCATTTACGAAATCGACGACTTGGGCCGGCACTTCGACCCAAAAGAAGGGATTTGTGAGGCTCGAACAGATTTTGATGTTTCTTAACTGCGGGCGCTATCTGTAGGATCGAACGTCCTCCAAGTGAGAGATAACCACGCCCTCGGTGAGGGACGAGGTTATTATGCACGACTCTTTTTTTGGCGGCATCAAATGGACGGCCGGTAGATGGGAGGAATCCATCGATACCAACACCCACTTGCAGCTGCAGCAGCAGACCGCTCGCTACTTCTGCTGTCTGTGCGTCGCTACTTCTGCACGCACTATGGTGCGTGGTTCGTGCAAAGATCGGCCGGCACATCAGTGTCGTCGTTATTATGCCGGGATTTTTTTTTGTATATTTGTCGACGTTTTCCGGCACCGCCACCACTACAGCCTACCACCGTCAACCATGAAGGCACCTCCGCGAAGCTATGGTCCTGATAAATCCTCCCCGCTGAAGAGACGAAGGGAAAAGAGGGTGTGTGGCGTCCTGGGTCGGGAAAACAGCGTTGGAGAAGTACTGTCTCAGTAATCAGGCTTTTTTCCGAACTGGGACTTTTTCCATATCGTCCCCGGGCACGCGGTTTGGCGCACTTACACCCACCTGACGCCACCCTGGGTCTATGTAGGCTGCTGGAACAAGACCACACAGTACTTACACATCATACTAGACTCTGTACAGCAGTTTTCCGCCAGTGTTTCGCAGGTCTGTGCTTGTTACGAGGGTCACACACACGCTGAGACTTGGAGCAGATCTGGTTGAACAGACGGATTTGGAGGACGCATACCAAATTGACGCTGACCCGTGCGAACTGAACCAAACGGTGGACACACAAGCTGGTGTTGTTGGCTTTCTGTAGCACCCACGATATTTGGGGTTCTTTCCTCCTGGATGCAGATATCGGCAAACATGAAAGGTGGATCTGGGCCCTCCTCCGATTCTAATACCAAGAGGATCTTCTCCAGGGGCTCCGCGATCCAGATTCATCGAAAGGGGTGTGGCAGCCCCAGGGGGGAANCCGACCCGTGCGAACTGAAGAACCAAACGGTGGACACACAAGCAGCTGTTGTTGGCTTTCTGTAGCACCTATGATATTGGGGGTTCTTTCCTCCTGGATGCAGATATCGGCAAACATGAAAGGTGGATCTGGGCCCTCCTCCGATTCTAATACCAAGAGGATCTTCTCCAGGGGCTCCGCGATCCAGATTCATCGAAAGGGGTGTGGCAGCCCCAGGGGGGAAGGAAAAACAAAACGAGAAAACGATAGCGAGACAGAGTGGAGAGATGTTTGGGGCTGACATCAATTGACGACAGCGGTTCGGCTACTGTCACAATGAACAATCCTTGTGTCTCGCACCTACAGCTGGCACCCTCGAAGTGGCACCTGGGGCTCAAGCTCTAATAGCTATGCGTTGAGATATCTACCAACAACAAAGTGCCATATCGAGGCGTGTAGTCTAGTACTAAGTTTTGTTGTTTTGTTTTGTTTTTCTCCCATCATTGGACTCTGTCGTCTGCCCCTCTGGCCCCTATCCTCCACTTCTACTAGCTAGACGACCCAACCGGGGTCACATAGGAGGGGGGGGTTGGACCCCCTCCTGCGGTTCATGCCTGAGGTATTTTTATCGCGAGAAGGGCACAGCAATCCCTTCCCTCGCGACTTACGAAGTCG